CGCCGCGCCGCCTCGTTCGTTCAATACAACGCTACGCTAGAAGACAAGCTAGTTAATTTGTTGCTAACAGTTTTGTGCTGTATGTCTAGAGATATTTAGACTAGTATTCATGAAAGCTCGCAGGCCAATTGCTGTGAGCATTTTTCTAGAAAAACCCACTCTTTGGAAAATGGAATGTTATGAAACAGCCACTAAAGAAAACTAAGAGCAGATAAAGTTATTTTACAGCGAACTGAAAATGAACGGACTGTGTAGAGGTGAGTTTACCCCAATTTAACGCGTTTCAGGAGCTGGAGTTGGTTACGTGGAGGGCTTGAACGTTATATATATGTTGATTTCGTGAAAATCAACTAAGCGAAACTAATGGAAAAGAATAGAAACCTGTCAAAAACGTAGCTTCGAAAACAATCTGTCAGTGTAAATGCTACAGTGGTCAATGGTCAACCTCGATTTCTCGAAGCATATGCCATGTAAAATTTACTCAGCCCTGTAATCCCGTCGTAAATTCTTCAAAAACTTTCTGTTCCATCACCTACTAATTCTTGAGGCAGACGTTTCACTTGATTGCCCAAATTAATTCTTCAAAATCCTGAAAATCATTTAAACAAAACGAATGGAAAGAATAGAAAACTATCGAACAGTATTAAAATACTCTCAAGCTGACTTCTAATCCTCCTCTATCCCTTTTCTTACTCATGTTTCAAGGAAATTCTTGATAAATATTGCTTATTGAGGCTTCTCAGTTCCTCCTTTCGCATGGCCCGTAAAATTAATCAAGCCCAACGAAAACAGATTGTTCCCGAAGACACTGCCCTGAAGACTGTTCCATGGCTGTGTCGTGCATTAAACACCAACTGAAGCTTTTGTTTCTTGTATGTGCTTGTCAGTATCTCATCTGTTTATGTAACAAGATAGATTCCTAAGCTTTAACGACTTAAAAGTGACTTAAAACGATAGAGCAGGTTGTTTAATGAGAAGATTAATTCAATACTGCTTTGTTGTTTGTCAATTTACACTTGTTTAGACAACGGGCTGTTTATCAAGGTTTGTGTCTGAGTGTGAATCTCGCGCGGGCCGTGAATTTTAACCCTCGCGATGAATGTGTGCTTTGCGGCTGTCCGATCGTTCGCGCACTCGGGAAGAAGAGAGATAGCCGACCTTTGCGACAAGATTGACTATAAGAAAATATGGAGCCCGGAAAGACTCGCCTGATCGTAAGTTACATTAGTTTTTTCTGTATACGAGCAAAAAAAATAAAATAAAATAAAATAAAACAAAAAACCTATTTTCCTCTCAGTGTATTTATAGCTATTTTCATTCACATTTCACACTAGCTACAAAAAAACAGATTAGAGGGAATTTTTTTACGCATGACGAACGTCATTTAACAGGTTTCTCGGCAACGTTCAAATGACATCGTTCTTCATTCCACTTTTCGTAATTTTTTCTTTAGCCTCGTATATTATTTCTTTTACAACTTCGTATCCAGGGCCATCATTGAAAGACCGTAGTGATAAGACCGTGTTTTTGCCGAGGAATGCGAGATTTAGTTTGTAACTTTTCCAAATAACAATCCCCTAACATGACCGTAGCATCGATCGTCAACGGTGGTAAAAATTGCTATTTTTAAGCGCGAAAATTTTGTTGTTCTCAGAACCACTCGAGTTTTCTTTGCCGGCGGGTCCTGAATACAAGTTGAGAAGGGTGCGTGGGCGCAGTTTGATTTAAGTTCCCTACCATGTCTTCTTTAAAAACAAAAAGGACAAAAAGTGGGAATAGTTTCCTTTATTGAGGAGGTATGCGAAAAAGAAAACATTTTGTTTCGCATATTCATTTGGATAAAGGACGGCAAGTTCAAAGCGGAATGCTCTGTGATTGTAAGACTTAGCTTTTGAACACCCAAACATTCCCTGATGACTGAGGTCTTGATTCAACTGATGACTGGTTGTGAGGCAGTCACCCTTTGCTTGCTTCATTCTACAGAAGACGACTTTTTGATTTCCCATAAAATAATTTGTATATTTCTCGCTCGTAAATAAGGAATATGGATTTTATAGTCAGCCTGTCATTATGTTTAAACATGCGTTTGGCTTACTAATGGGGGATTTCCGTTTTGATAACAAGATATTTTCCTGCGTAGGTATAGCGCATAATTCAGCGGTGAAAAATAGGCATGTCCCCATGGAAAAGAATAATATCATTGCTTTATCAGTGAAATATCACTTTTGCCAGACTTTTGGGGAATCTCAACAAGATCCGTAAATTATTGTTTTATCTATGAAAAAAGGCCACAAGCCACAAAGGGCAAAACATTGGAAGTTCTAGTTAGCCCTCGACAAACAATCCTGTTTTTAATAAAATTCACAGATCAATCTTACTTTGTCCCTAACAATACTTTTAACAAGTCTCAGAAATTTTATTCTTTAAGATAATGCCTGCTACGAACCAGGTGAAGATTATTCTGCCTGCGTAGCTCTGGGACAAGCATAACTGATAATTATTTCATGGCTTCATACGAAATATCAGAATATTGCGAATTGTTTAGGCTCGTGGAGAGATTTTGGATCGGCGATATCAAAACCAGATGTTTTCTTCTCGTATCAATTCTTGAAATATACCGAATTTATTGCCAATGAAAACAGTCATTTTCATTAGTCCACTCGGGTGATTTTTTCCCCTCCTATTTATAACAATCAGTGACTTTCTCCAGGCCGTTCCTATTTTAAACTGATGCAGCATTTTTTCGCAAAGATACTAGCTTGTTATATATTTTTTTTATTAAAAGATTCCGCAGATGCACGCTTTCTTGCCGTATTTATGTCTTATAAATGATTTATACCCCCACACTTTGAAGTAAAAGTTTCACCGGATTTTATCGATCCCTTGAAGGTCTGAAGTTTTCTTTTAAACATGCACAAATAAAGTAAAAAGTAATAAAATCGACGAAAGATTACAAACTACATTATGTTATGATTGTGTTTATCTGCATCTATTGAACAAAAGCTCCGAGAGTCAAAGCCGATATCCGCATTCATTTTCCAAAATTGGCGAGCATGTCATAGGATTTACTTTGATCGGAAAAGCGTCTTAACTTAATTTACACCTAAATCACAACGTTCATCAACGAAAGAATTTGCATTTTAAAACCGAGCCTTTGTAAACATCTCACAAACATATAATGTTGCAGATTTTTTGTTTTCAGTTCTTGTTTTGTTTCGATCGCCTTTCAAGTAATGCGCCTCTTTCTGGCAGACTCCGCGGCTAGCTGTCAGGAGGGTTTTCATCTCTAAGAAGGATTAATCATCTCGCTGAAAGGCAAAACTTAAAAAGCCCTTAAAAGTGACCGGCGCTAATCAAGTGTAAAAGCCCACTTTACGGCCTGGAAGTTCGCCGTTTGTCAAGAGCCGCATAGCTTTCTTTCCGCGGTCTTCTTCTTGTGGCACGTCATGATCAACGAAACTCTACCGGCATCTGGCGTGCCGACTGCGCTAACGACTCCAGATTACCCGTCTTGCCCAGACCCGAATTCCAACAAGTATGTGAAAGGCATCAAAGCAGCTGCCTATATTTTAGTGATGTTGCTCTCTCTGTTTGGAAACGCCATGGTGGTCCGCGTCGTTCACAAAAACCGACGAATGCGAACTATTTCAAACTACCTGATCATCAATATGGCTCTGGCCGACCTCTTGACCACCGTCTTCAACATGCTACCCACAACGTACTGGATTTTTCAAGGGCTGGATGTGTGGGCTGTGGGCGGCTGGATAGGAGAGGTGCTTTGCAAGCTACTCAACTTCACGCAGTCCCTCTCCATCTCGGTTTCTGTTTTCACGCTTTGCGCGATCGCGTTCGATCGCTTTTTCGCCATTTTCAGGCCGTTAAAACGCGTCATTACGTTTCGCGTTGCTAAAGGTATCATCGCAGCATCGTGGTTGTCATCTATCATAATTTCAGGCCCTCAACTTTACGTTTTGGGTATAACTGGTGAGAAAGGCGTCGCCCAGTGCGTGGAAACCTGGGATCCTCCGTTTGATGAAGCTAAAGCTCCGAGAGATTACACCATCGCGCTGTTTTTTCTGCTTTACGCCTTGCCTTTGACGGTGATTGCCTCTCTTTACTCGGTGATCATGATGAAATTGTGGCGAAGGCAAGCACCTGGGCAAGAACTCTCTTCAAATCAAGAAAACAAAGACAAGACCAACAGGAAAGTTCTGAAGATGCTCGTCACGGTTGTCATCGTGTTCGCGTTATCCTGGCTTCCGTTATACGTGAGAATGTTCGTGATGTTCGCCGAATCGGTTCGTTATATTTGCGGTCTGCCATACGCAATGGATTTTCTCACTCTCTATCTCGGACATGCTAACTCAGCAGTGAATCCCTACATTTACGTAATTTTCAACGAGAATTACAGAAGGGGTTTCAGAACTGCGCTGTCTCGGCGTCAGCGAGGAAGCAGCCGCATCTCTGAAAGTACACGCAGAACCAGATCAAGCCGGCTGCATGCAGACAAAAATGCGAGTCTCCTACGCGCGGATTTACGTGACAATAACAAAGCAGCTTTGCGATTCAACAAGAAACACAACGAAAACGCATTGTTGCCCATGACTACGACGACAGAAAACCTTTAATTTTTTTCAGTGTAACGGTAAGAATCATTGCTTTCGCTTCAGGGCACGTTAATTTAACAGAACTTGGCACTTTGAACAATAAGCAACGCACCGAAGACAAATGATCTGATTGACCTGCAGGGCTAATATCGTCGCCGACGGGAAAAGAGCGAAACGATAGCGAAACTGTAACGATAATCGTTTACAACACTGATAAGAAGTGCTTAATTAATTACGGAATTGAATTTAATATCCGATCGCATTTAAAAACAAAGTTTTAATTTCGGAGATGTCTCCTCGTAATTAGCACGCTGCTAAAAAGTCATGAACGAATCATTGAGATAAATGGTTTCTTTACGTAGAGACGATAAGCAAATTTTCCACTTTTACCAGTTAATTGACAACTTTCTGAATAATTAGGCTGCAATGTGTATATGTTATGAACTTCTGGTCTTGACCTGTAATAAAATATGAAGATAACAAGCCTTATGAAATCTCAACAGATTCAATCCGGGGGGGGGGGGGG